ATAGAAGGTAAAATATTGTTACGATGTTTGCATTGTTGTAACATATAGTAGCAATGTAAAACAGAACGTAAACTGACGTTTCTATATTTATGTTTTTGTAAGATATAGCAGCAATAACATTCCCCGCCCCCCCCCCCCCCCCCTCCAAAAAAAAAAAATACAATAAAATGTCCCAACAATTTTCGCTTAGTCGGTTTTTCTCTCCAAGCTGCTACCTGAGAATTTGAGAATCTCAACCTGGCTGTTAAACCGACAGGACAAATCCCAGATACCATATTCAACCTCTAAAGATTATAATTAGAGCACCAGTAATGACCACACCCGCTTATACAGTCAGCAGTTCTGCGCCATGTAACAAATAATGAATTAACTCTTTCGCTACCAAGCAGGTGTTACAGTCCATTCTAGTGATTTATCACGCTAATTATTCAATGCTTCGATATGAGGAAATACAACACTACCACTGTTGGACTGATGAAGTTAAAGTAAGCATGATCGCAGAGGGGTTAGTGTAAAAGCAGGATGAGTTACAAGCATGGCCGGATTAATCATTAAGCAGACTAAACACGTGCTTAGGGAATCACAAACGAAAGGGGGCACTATGGACATTTCCAATAACCTTGGTGCTTAGGATTTATTTTCTCAGTGAAGTCTGTTAAAAATCCCTTGGGAACAACGTCAGAACAACATCAGAACAACGCCAGAACAACGTCAGAACAACGTCAGAACAACATCAGAACAACATCAGAACAACGTCAGAAAAACGTCAGAACAACGTCAGAACAACATCAGAACAAAATCAGAACAACGTCAGAACAACATCAGAACAACATCAGAACAACGTCAGAACAACGTCAGAACAACATCAGAACAACATCAGAACAACGTCAGAAAAACGTCAGAACAACGTCAGAACAACATCAGAACAAAATCAGAACAACGTCAGAACAACGTCAGAACAACATCAGAACAACATCAGAACAACATCAGAACAACATCAGAACAACATCAGAACAACATCAGAACAACGCCAGAACAACGCCAGAACAACGTCAGAACAACGTCAGAACAACATCAGAACAACATCAGAACAACATCAGAACAACATCAGAACAACGCCAGAACAACGCCAGAACAACATCAGAACAACATCAGAACAACGTCAGAACACCATCAGAACAACGTCAGAACAACATCAGAACAACATCAGAACAACGCCAGAACAACATCAGAACAACATCAGAACAACATCAGAACTACGCCAGAACAACATCAGAACAACATCAGAACAACACCAGAACAACGCCAGAACAACATCAGAACAACATCAGAACAACATCAGAACAACTTTAGAACAACGTCAGAACAACTTTAGAACAACATCAGAACAACTTTAGAACAACATCAGAACAACATCAGAACAACCCCAGAACAACATCAGAACAACATCAGAACAACGTCAGAACAACATCAGAACAACGTCAGAACAACATCAGAACAACATCAGAACAACATCAGAACAACACCAGAACAACATCAGAACAACACCAGAACAACATCAGAACAACATCAGAACAACATCAGAACAACATCAGAACAACGTCAGAACAACGTCAGAACAACGCCAGAACAACGTCAGAACAACGTCAGAACAACATCATAACAACATCAGAACAACATCAGAACAACATCAGAACAACATCAGAACAACGTCAAAACAATGTCAGAACAACACCAGAACAACATCAGATCAACATCAGAACAACATCAGAACAACACCAGAACAACATCAGAACAACATCAGAACAACATCAGAACAACGTCAGAACAACGTCAGAACAACGTCAGAACAAGGCAAGTTGGATTCCCTTTCTCCATTAAGTATAGAAGCAGATTTGTTTACACAAGAACGCTCCTGTGGGCCAGATTTCTTCTCTCTGACTGAAAAAGTATCAGCAATCTTGTAAGACATGCTCTGAAGTTTGCTTCGATGAGCAACAACTAAGTGCGGCAGAGCTAACAAGACGCATTCAATCGAAGAAGCCTCTCCTTCTGGGATCATATGGAGGCAGCTGTGGTGAAATGCCAAAAAGGCCTCAATGCACTCAAGATTATGGCAGCAGTGGACACGGAACATAGAATGCTGTTCACAAAGTTCCAGCATGTGATCCTGTCAGTGACAGTGGGTTTGGAATGCTTACTACATCAAAGAGTCAGCTGATGAAACTTAAACGCATACAGAATGAAACTATGAGGAAAATTCTGGGATGTTCAAGAGATACCTGGTAGTATGTATGCGATACATACTGTGCAAAAACAGTACCCAACAAAAGCCAACTTTAGCAGTATATGCTACATAAACTCCACAAAAGGTAATTATAAAAAAATAAAAAAAAGGGGAACGCCAATATTTTCAAAAATAGTCATCGAAAAAATACACTCTGTATTTCAATTCACGAAAAAACTCGTGTGGTTTCTGGGGGCCTATTGTGGGTAAAACAAGAATAGACTTATTGCCTACCCAAAAACATGTCATAAGAGTCGAATAATTTGGAGCTACCTCTGAAGTCGGAGTGCATCTGTCTGAGAGGCAGGGAACCAACAGTCTGCATTCAAGGGAATCAGATCTGTAAAACTGATACACAGGCAACACTCAGGTTCTGGAGCAGGACTGCAGTCCAGAAGCAGACGAACAACCAGAACTTTCTGCCAGAGTGTACAGCTGGTTAACGCCAGCAGCAGCAGCAGAAGAAGAAGAAGAAGAAGAAGAAGAAGAAGAAGAAGAAGAAGAAGAAGAAGAAGAAGAAGAAGAAGAAGAAGAAGAAGAAGAAGAAGAAGAAGAAGAAGAAGAAGAAGAAGAAGAAGAAGAAGAAGAAGAAGAAGAAGAAGAAGAAGAAGAAGAAGAAAAAGAAGAGGAGGAGGAGGAAGAAGAGGAAGAAACAGTTCAAGAAAATAAAGCACATTAAACGATTACTAAATTATTACTCACAACTGTTAATGTTTCCAGATGAGTATACCACCGTATCTCCATCACCATCAGCTGCTGTCACTTTGCCAACCAGAGAGCCCGGTGTGGAAGTTTCCAGAACATGAAATGTATACGACTGATTACCAAACTTTGGTGGTTCGGTGTTGGCGGGTAAAATGTTGACTTGCACATTGGTTAATCTGAAATAAACAACAGGACACAGTGGCGTAGTCAGCATCTGTTGCTTGCAGGTTATGGTTGCCGTTTCATAAATCCTACATACAAGTGTTCGAAGTCAGCTGGGACGATCTGACAGCAACTTTGATTTGACGATATAAGCGAGATTCGTTCAAACTGTGTGACATGATGCTGCGTGACACGATACTCTGTGATATGATACTCGGTGACCAGATACACAATACTGGGTGACAAGATACTGTATTACATGATACTGTGCCACATGATACTGTGTCACATTATACTGTGTTTCATTATGATGTGTGACATGATAAAAAAATTGTCAACATGAATCTTCGGAGTGACTAACCTAATGATGATGATAGTGATGATGACGACCTTCTTCTAGTGTTTCTTCTTCTTAGCGTTCACCAGTCGTAAACTGCGGTGGAAAGTTTTGGTTGTTCGTCTACTAGTTCCAGAACTTGAGTTTTGCGTACACAGTAATTTCACAAACAGGGTTTATTTGTACAGAGACTGTTGGTTTCCCATCTCTGCGGCAGATGCACTCCAACTTTAAAAGGGAAAACCCGTAGTTAGTCGCCTTGCCTTTCACGACATGCGTGTGTGTGTGTGTGTGTGTGTGTGTGTGTGTGTGTGGGGGGGGGGTATGGGAACAGATGGTCTCTTCTTTAGCCGCAAAATAGTGTCACAGAAACCGCACGGGTAGATGATGCTCGTGATAAGGATGACGTCTGTACACTGTCCTTACTGCATTTACGTAAGTAAAGTAAAGTAAAGGACATTTTTCTAAGCCTTCTTAGGTATTTGGCATATGAGGCTAGAATTATATTTAATAGATCAATCGGCACTCGGTGGCTGATGTAGTCAACATAACGCCGTCTGCCTTTACTTCCCACGACTATAGCTGGTACGCATTTAAGGATAGCTCAACCTGGGAGCTCAGATCATTTTTAAAAAAAACTTGGGCATCGAGATTTTGTAGGGAAATCCCCAAAACGTTGCATAGTATAGGGTGGTTAGAGTTAGGCTTAGTAGTAGTAGTCGCTATTCATTTAACACTAACCCTAACCTTAACATTCTCTCCCCCCTTTTTTTTCGACAAGATGTGATCGTATAAAATAATGTCCGCCTGTAGGTCTCGATGGTGTCCGGTCTGTTCGTGTCCAGTATCGGGTTATTTTGCTGTCTTTTGGTGTTTGGCTTTCCCTGTGTTAGTTGCTGTGCTAGGGCCATTAACGCCAGGTGCAGGGTTTCTGCACTGAAAGGGCCCCGGTTTTAGCTATCACTTTATACGCCACATAAACAACACCTACCACTGTGTGCAACCTTTTCAAGACCCCCCCCCCCCCCCCCCTTGGTGGGGGGGGGGGGGCGTAATAGTGTAGAAGTAGTGGCTGTAACATAGATTGCAGTGAAATGCTCGAATGTGCCTGAAGACTTATAGTGAGGTCGAAGAAGTGAGGGAGAATGATAGCTTTCTAGGGTAAGAGAGGATCCCTGGTGCCTGTCGGCTCATGTGGGATAAGGTTCCCTGGATGTCCTGCCCTGTTTGACCAACCACCACTGTTTAAGTATACTGCTAATCGCCACAATATAATTGCCGCCGGTAATTACCTCTTCTACAGTCAGGGAAAGGGGGTGTTGTGGTGTGTGTATTGGGGGGGGGGGAGAGGGGGGGGGGTTGTGTCTTTTAGCCTGAGGATTTAGGACAACTTGACTAATGCTGTCGCCACGAACTCTTCAGGTTTACAATTGTACTTAGAAGTAATATATTTCTACTAAAATAATAAACAAAGCCGTATATGCATAATATGATAAATGTTTGAGGTACCCCATGAGTCGTCCTGTATCAGCAGCACTAACACTCAAGTGATGAGCACCAACATCGGAGTACTGAAGGTCTCTGGACAAGGTAATATTGCCAGTTCGATTATTGATAGTGAAAGCTGAAGGCTGCAGTGTTGAGAACTGAATTGTGTACGCGATCTCTCCGTTGTCACCAGCGTCTGCGTCAACAGCTGAAACCTGATAGAAAAAAAAAAGTATAAGATATACACATTTCTATATGAATTAAATAAAAAATGTATAAGATTCACACATTTCTTTATGATAGAAATAAAAAAGTATAAGATATACACATGTCTATATGAATGAAATAAAAAAAAAGTATAAGATACACGCATTTCTATAATGCTAAATGTAAAACAAGTCAACGCCGTGATTGGAGCATGGTCTCCGGCAAGAAGCAGAGACCACGACTCATGTTAGTTCTTGCTGACTGCTAGTGTCAGAAGTAAAACATCAATCACAAGAGAATAGGAATAGTCAAATATATTTTCAACAAAATGACACATTATATTACCCCCACCACACACACACAGAGAGAGAGAGAGAGAGAGAGAGAGAGAGAGAGAGAGAGAGAGAGAGAGAGAGGGGAAAGAGAGAGAGAGAGAGAGACATGAAAAAAGAGAGAATAAACTCTCTCTTCTTCGCATTTGCTAGCTTTAACCTCCAGTGGAAGATTTTGGTTTATTTTCCACCTCTGGACAAGTCCTGTTCCAGAACCTGAGTATATTGTGCCCATCCGTTTTACACCTCCGAACTTATTTTATATGCAGACTGTTGGTTCATTCCCTCTCAGGCAAATGCATTATAACTTCCAGGAAGCCATAAATTAGTCAACTTCTACAACATGCTTGTTGGGGAAGCAGTGGGTCTATTCTTGTTATCCACCATAATGGCTCCCTAGAACCCATGTGGGTTGCAACACAACTGTACGGTCAAGACCGTCTTGGAGACGGTCTTAGTACTGCGCAGAAGCCTACACAATCAGTACGGAATTACGAGGCCGAAATAAGAACAGACGTCAATTCTACTAGAAGTCTTCCATTTCAAATGATGATGTAAGTAAGACACAATTTGTTTTGTATTTAGTATTCCGTGGATAAAGACTGATCAATATATTTGATTGTATTTTTTTTGGCCTCTCTTCCATTCTCTCCATCTCAAGTCGTATTCGATACTTTTGTTCCATTTCAGCCAACCGTTATTGCAAATCGGATACAAAACTGAACGAAGATTGCAAGCATAAGCTGGTTGTTAACTTCCATTATTTTCTCAATAATTTATGTTACCTGCGAAATTGTAAATGTTCATTTGAGGGAGTGATATAATAATAATAATAATAATAATAATAATAATAATAATAATAATAATAATAATGAAAATAATAATATTAATAATAATAATAACAATAGAAACAATAATAATGATACCTAAGAAATTCAGCATACATTGCTTAGCATTTAAACACTAAACAAAATTGACTAAAATTGCAAACTGAATAATCATTAAAGCCATAGTATGTTGGTTGGTACAGAAAGGGTTTTAAACAATATCTTCTTCTTCTTCTTCTTCTTGTTCACCGGCTGTGAATTCCGGCGGTAAGTCGCGGTTGTTCGTCCAAATGGACTTTTGGCTTTTACCTCGACCTGAGTTTTGCGTGTACATCCGTTTTACTGTCTTATTTGTTTGCAGTCCTCGTTCCCTGCCTCACCGGCAGATGTACTCCGACTTCGAGGGAAGACGTCATGCGTATTTCCAGGTTGACTGTGGCCATTGTTTTGTGTGGGTCGAGATGTTGCCTCATTTGTGTGGTGTCCTCTTTGACCTTTAACAGGTGTGGCCCCCGGAAAATCCTCCTAAGGCAGCCCTAGGTAGAATTGTCAGCCCTCAAGGGAAGGCAGGGGCAGATCATGGGCATTCCCCGCCATCCAAGGAGGCTTCCATAAATGCAGAGCCGACACATGATGCTCTGGTTCTGGGCTCACCCAAGGAATCGTCACGTCCTGCCCATGACTGCTTAACCTCACAACCGTGTATTGAGCTTCCCGTGCTACAAGGCTGCACTCTTCGGAGATCAGCGGGGAGCAGCCCGCAGGTCTAGGACGTTTGTGGCCACACAAATAGGTACATTCTTTTTTCATCATACGTTAGACACCTTTAACGTTGTTTCAACTGTGCCCTTGGCACGACAGAATGGGGAAGCAGCATGCGTCAGGCGTGGCTTCGCCTGTTCGGTCCCAACACTCGGGCGAGTGGGACCAGTGGATACGGACATTTGGACTTTTCCTAATCGGTACGAATTATGGTCGTCGGACTTTGAGCTTGCATGTGTGCCGTAGGATTTAACTTTGTCAGACATTATTTCCTAGCCAGCAGATTAAAAGTTGCTGCCGTGGTGTACCTCAGCGCGGTGACGACGACGCTGAGGATTGACAGAGGATGTAAATACGTAGGATCTTGCTGCGATAATTCACCCACTAGAGATGTTACCCGTCTTGGCTGCCGGTAAATCTCCCGGTCAAGGGTTGAGTCTCAGCAGCACAGTTTTCCCTTCGCTCCAGACTTTTAACCGAGAGTTGTCATTTGATGGTACATTTGGCAAGCAATCCTTACTCATGTTCCGAATGAGTTTTGATAGACTTTTCACCCATGCGTTTGGGGTCGGGCTGATGAGAGCCAGAAAAGACACTACACCTCTAGGGGCCGCCAGCTCCGAGATCTCCTGCCAACTCTGTTAATGCTCATTTGAGACATTATCCGTGGCGCACGACGGGGACGTGCAGCAGGAATCTTGCATGAGGTTTCGTAAAACCAGAACAGTGAAAGACTGGCGCCCGAGTGGGGTACGGAATATCTCCTTATACACATCACATCAGACTTAACTTCCCCTCATGCCTGTGACCGAAATCACCGCGCCACAAACAATATCTGATTTAAATGAATTATCACAAAATTGCAAACAGTAAATTAATTCAAGTAAAATATTTGGTTTACAAATCTAATTAAACTGGTAAACACAAACAAAATAAGTGGTAACCATAGTAACAATGTTTTTTTTTTTTTTAAACATACCTTCCCAACGAAATCTCCCTTTAGCTGAGTTCGTGTCGCATTGAAGGTGTAGTTTTGGGAAACGAACACAGGAGCGTGATCATTTACATCGGCAACGATAATAACTATTCGGCTTTTGTTGCTGCTGTAATGTTCTGTTGTCGATGTTTCTTCTGCCCAGATCTGCAACCATAAACACGGTTATCATCATGACGTGTTCCCCTGATATATCAGTGAACATGACACAACATAACCCTTGACCCGTTATGCTCGTGGACGTGGGTCGGTGCAAGCATTAGCACACAGAACTCAACATCTTACTCTAGTTTTCGTTTTGTTGAGCGTGTATAGTAGTTTAATCCTGTTCATTTGAATTTGTTGTTATTCCGCATTCTTCTTTGCCCCTCCCCCCCCCCCTGTGACTACTCCACCCCCTCCCTTTCACACACCTCTAATATTTCTTGAATATATATAGTCTTTGCAATTCTAACATTCCGTGTACCAAAAACACGGTGCTGCCTGGATAATTTGAAAGTTCTAACCGTTGGGTTCTTGTGCCCGGAGTTGACAGCCGGTAAAGGGAAAAGAGCTAGACCCTCGCGTGCGGATCGGAAGGTCGTGGGTTCGCTCCCTGGCGGAGACGGACTTAAAAAATAACCTTGACTCCCAGGTCGAGCCAGCCTTGAGTGGGTACCAGGTGCAGTCTCGGGAAGTAAAGGCGGTCGGTGTGAAGTTGACCACATCATCCATATTGTGCCGATTGGTCTATAAAAATACTGGTCTAGCCCTATATGCCCTATACGCCTAAAGGCGTGGAAAATGGGCCTGATCTTTTTTTTTAAACGGTAAGGAAAATAAGATACTAATCAAGAACATTTCTTATTTCAAACGATCATCATTCTGGTTTTTGTTGTAATTAATGCCACTGCATTGTTTGTAGTCATAGCTAACCACACCTGTTGTCTTGTCTACTGTCAGTCATTACTGGCAGCTGTTATCATTACTGAAAAAAAAAGCATTATAGCTACTATGGTTCATTTTATCTGTCCTGCCTGGGAGAACGAAACAAGACAATGAACGCAATGGAATATTACCTCGAATGTATAATTTGCCTGGGATTCCCGGTCTAAATGACCTTTCAGCGTGATTACTCCGGTATGACCACGAGTTTCCACAGAAAACACATCGTTATCTGTCCCGTTCAGGTGAAACTCAATCACTGAATTATTGCCCTGAAGACACAATATATTTTAAGATATTTATATTTAACATACAACAAAAATAGTAAACTGCATTACCGAAATTAAACATGATACAATATCTGCAATAGGAGAACCTATTACACAAATGTGAAGTGGCAGGCCTTTAAACATAAACATGTAGCAATCAAGAGAGGTGTGCGACAGAGATATGTAATGTCTCTGTGTCCTTGTTCCTTGTATAGTGATACATGTATACGACATCTGAAAGGCGTGAATGGGAATTAACGTGGGAGGTTGTAAGATCAACAATATAAGTTACACAGATGACACGGTGTTTACTGCAGACAGTGAAGAAGATCTACCGTGTTTAGTGGATGCATTGATAGTTCACAATGAGAAACTAGCACTAGAATTAGATTGTCAGAAAACGGAAATTAAAGTCATCACCAAGAAAGAAATACCAAAGTGTGAAATACATGCACACGGCAAAATTCTTAAGCAAGTTAATAGATACAGTTATTTAGTTTATTGACCACATGCGATATGCTGATGATAACATAATAGACACATGCGATATGCTGACGATAACATAACAGACACATGCCATATGATGATGATAACATAATAGACACATGCGATATGCTGATGATAACATAACAGACACATGCGATATGCAGATGATAACATAACAAACACACGCGATACGCTGATGATAACATAACAAACATATGCCATATGCTGATGATAACATAACAAACATATGCCATATGCTGATGATAACATAACAAACATATGCCATATACTGATGATAACATAACAGACACATGCCATATGCTGATGATAACATAACATACACATGCCATATGCTGATGATAACATAACATACACATGCCATATGCTGATGATAACATAACAGCCACATGCCAT